GGATTCTGTTCCCCAGTTTTGTTCATATCATTGATCTCTGATAGCTGCTTAGTTCTCCAGTTAGCCTCAGCTCTGAAACCATGTTGTGTTCACTTCAAAGCAAACAGGATATGCACTGCCAGAGTGATGATCTAGCAAAGAGTCTTGACTGCCAAGAGTGTGACAAAAAGAACCAGAAAAACAGGAAGCTTAAGAACACATGTGCTGGCAGCTGTTGCAGCAGTCTACCACGCAGCACTGTGGGGACTTGACTGACAACTTTTCTTTTTTACGTTTTTCATTTTGAGAATAAGACAACATTTCTAAAAGTCAAAATATTATTTCAAGAACAGAATCAATATTCCTACAGACAAGATGTTTCAAATAAAGTTAGCATTAGTGCTGTTCATGGCCGCTGTACCTTGTACAATATGCCTTGTGCAATTTCACTGATGAAACTATATATCAAAGTCCCTTTTGATAACAAGTAAGTTATTTCTCTCTGCATATGAACACAATGTGGTAATAGATACAGAAAAGGACTTTGAAGTGATGGTACAGAAAATTACATCTGTTCTTTCTTCCTTAAACCCCACAGCTGTTATCCCCATGATATACACTGATCTTCATTTGAGTATTTTTAAGTGAGAAAAATACATCATACTGCATATGCGTTATATATGAGGAAATTAAACCCTAAATCACTAAATGTAGAATGATTTGCTTCTGAAATATCATTTCTATCAACTCTTAGTTCAAAGGCTCAATTTAGAAAAGACACAAATACTGAAAAAGATTTTCGAAAGCAAAGAATCAGCATTTTAACATCTGATTTTTTTTGGTCTTTTTTCATCTTCTAAGTGTAATTTTCTTATAGTGAGCTTTTTTTTGCTGTTGTTTATTTGTTAGTTTGTTTTTAACATTAGCACAACTGGAGCAGGTAAGAAAGTCGTTGTTGGTTTGACTCATTTGGTCAGGGACACAGTAGCGGTGTTTCATCATGTTGTTGATCTGTAATATACAACACACAACACCACAGTCAGGCAAAATCAAATGCAGACATAGTCAAACATGTAGATGCAATAAAAGTTTGCCAACGTACCGTTTTAAACCATCATGAAGAAATTTTATTAAAAGTACGATGGTTCCTGCATTTGCAATAATTAAAACTACAGCCAGAACAAACAGCACCGTTTCCTCCTGACTTGTCTTTCTTCCCGCCAGTTGTGGATCTAGAAAACAAAGGATTGTTTTTGAAAACAGTACATACAGTAATGAGTTCTCACCCTGCATGCTGTAACCTCTAATTTCTGTAACACATGCATGGCTTGTACTGTATGTGCCCCAAACCCCCCCTGCATCATTTTCCTGAATTACCTTCAGCATCACCTGCACTCAAAATCTTCATTTTGTCCACCTTTATTTTCCTCACATTCATGTACAGAGACGCAAAACCTGAAAAGAGAAAACTAAATTGTGACATATTGATTTATTCAGTGAAAAAAGGAAGTTATTGTTTTAATTGATGTGTTTTACAAAAAGATTTCTGACCATCTTCTTTATGGATGAGAAATGTTCCACACCAAAATAAATATTTGAATGTTACTTTAAGTTTTATCTTTATTACATTTCTATAGTTTTTTCTATAACTTTTCCTGTCAGTGCAAATCATTGTGGAGGTTATCACAACCGTAATGAAAACTAGACATTTTTAAATTAGATAATTCCACAATTTACTATAAATTTATGACACTGAACTTTTTAGACGAATAAAAATAAAATTTATTGAAACACTCTCTGAATGCAGCTCCTCAAATCTGATTTACCTTTTGGTGGTCCAAACATTGGAGGTTTGAGTGAGAAATCACTGCTGTCTCCATCAGAAGTTCGACCCACACTCAAGACAAAGTTTTCTGAGGATGAAAATCTGAATTAATGTTTGTTCATCTGCAATATAAATACAGCCCAGTCCTAAAGAGATACAGGAGTCAACTTACCATTTGTCTCGAGCCTCCATCTCTTCAGGCTGTCGTCGTAGTCGGCAGCCACGTCACACCTGTAGCTTCCAGAGTCTTCAGCTGTGACTCTGGACAGATGAAGTCTGATTCGTCCTCCTCTCAGAGCGTCTCTGTCAGTCTGAACTCGTCCTGCAAACTGCTCATGCTGAGACTCAGAGTCCTCCACTCCTCTGATCATTTTAAACAAAATCTTAGTGACGTCTGAGTGGAAAACACACATCATGTCAGCCAGAGACACGTCAGCTTGGAGCTGACTGTCCAATCTGATGGTGATGTTGTCGTCCTCCTTGGCCTCAAAGACAGTCGCAGTCCTTTTCAAAACAAACGTCCCTGTTGAGAAGACACCACCTCATTATGGTGTGTTCATTTATCCTTTTTATTTATTTATTTATTTGAATTTACCAAAAGATAACTGTGTCTAAATGTGGACACTCACAGACAGAGGACGCCAGGCCGAGAAACAGAAGGATCCTGATCATCTTCTCTCTGTCAGAATGAATCAGAGGAAGAACGTTTTAATAAATATCTTTTTTTAAAAAGACAATAAAAATAAAAGTGAAATATTTCACATTTTTCACCAGCTTAAAAACCACTGAGTGATTTCCCCACACAGAGTGTACACAGACACCGTTTCTGTGCAGCTCACCAGCACATGAATTAATGTACGTCTATGATCCAAACCATGATCATAATTCTGCGCATGTTTCAGCTACGAGATTTAAAATGGTCTGTTGACATCAGAGTGAAGTGTGTTTTCAGTATTACTCCAATAACATGTTTAGATGTTTTTAGGCTTAGTTTTCTACCTGTTCTTGCGTTTCTCCGTCTCTGGCAGCTGTCTCTACGAACCATGAGCTCCTCTCTACGAACACGGAAGAGCATGTAAAGTTTTCCTGTTGACTTTACTGGGTGCATTACACTTAGTGACCTGTGAAATTTAAAAAGAAAAAATATCAGTGTTATTGATTTTCATTTCATCACACCTCACAGACAACAAAACTGAACATTAGGCAACAACGATCGGTGCTCACCAGAAAATTAAATGAAGTAAATTCAGAAGGCCTCAAAGGGACAGTCAAGGTCACTACTCACTGTCGGTTTAAATCTCCTTCCTGAAATTTCACAAAAATATATTTAATGAACTTTTTAGACAGATTCAGATTTATTTTGATTTATTTTGTTGATTGTTTTTTAAACAATTTGTTAAATGGTTAATATCGTTTTCTTATTTCCAGAGGTGCACATATCCGCAGGTGCGCATTCGCCGTCAAAATAAAAGACGCGCACCAGATAAGAAGTTGCAACGCGTGTTTGCGTACATAAGATTTTCTGGAGGAGGACAGACATTTGTTTAGAACTCCTAAAGATGTCGAAGAAGCAAGCTCGGTAGGCAATTACTCTGGTGTTCCTCCACCTCTGAAGAAATGTCAGAAGGAGTCCGAACCACAAAAGAAGCGCGTATTCTCGGAAAAGTGGTTGCAGGAGGCAAATGATGAATGCACAGAGATTTGGTGCAGAATATGCCGTGAAAATCCCACTCTAGCGGACAAAAACAGTGCCTTTTATATGTACGCGAACGCGCGTTGCATCTTCCTATCTGGTGCGTGTCTTTTATTTTGCACATAAACATTCAGTTTTCTGTTTTTTGTGATAGGAAAAGCCACAAGCCTCGTGTTTTTGACAACAACAACAACTAAATCATTATTATTATTATTATTATTATTATTATTATTTTTTTTTTTATTATTATTATTATTATAAACTCTTATTGACACTGTAAACACCGCTATGCCGCTGTTTACTTCATGTTGCGCACTTTCATAAAACCCCCTTTGGGTTTTCATGTTTTGTATCACATGAACCAACTAAAAGCTGTTTGTCTTTCTCTGTCCTTTTTCTGTGAGATATTTGTTTTGTTTTGTTTTTTATCCTGTTTCCAATCTGATGAAAAACAACAGGAGCGTACATGTTCACACAGGATGTGTTAACGTCTACTTACTTGTTTCTAAGGCAAAGAGAGCGATCGGCGATCTGTCCACTTTCTATCACATCAATTATATCAGCTGATGATCAGCTGATGATCAGCTGGAAGAACAAACAACACTCTGAATGTTTCGGATGAAGCCAGAGCGTTCTCACTCCCGAGGCGTAACATGTCGACGTTTTGTCTCGTCCCGCGGCGTTCCTGAGGAACGCGAAAGGTGACCTTCCGCGTTCTTATGGTACGCGGCGGGTTATGGCTGGAATCCAGTGCAATGATGCTCCCGCGGTAATAGACGTTCCAGCCCTGTATTCCAGCCCTAAACCTAACCTTATCCCTAGCCCTGACCATAACCTTATTCCTGACCTTAGCCAGGACTATAATGATGTTAAATAGCTTGTTTCTAAGCGATTTGAAGAAAAAGAGCGAACATGTGTAGGTTCAGTCCAGTTGGTTCTCATATTTCCTCTTTTTTCCGAGGTCGTCGTTTAGGAACGTGGTGGGTACCCGAAAACGTAATATGGTGACGATTTGTCACCTAGCCTAAAATGTTACGCTTTGGGAGTGAGAACGGGTTGATGAAGCAGAATACCACGAAGAGTTCAAACTGTTAATCCCAGTCACATCCTCTTTACAGACTGTGATCAAACGTGTTCATTATCGGACATGTAACATTTTAGTCCTGCTACTTTACAAAGGCATTTTAAGAAAGAGATAAAAACGTAATAATAATAAATAAATATCAACTGCAGTACAAAACAAAGAAGAATGACACAGAAACACAGCAAAACATACTAAAAGATCAAGTTCATACTCCTGTTGTCTTCTCTTCTTCCCGTTGGTAGCTTTTTATTCGCTTCAACGTGTCGATACTGCGTTTTGCTTCAGTTCTATAATAACACAACATAACTTGTGTACAAGACTCCTCCTCCTATCAGTGATATCATGATATACTGGCCAGTCAGCATGCATCTGTTGGGTTTTTTTTCTTGTTGTTTGTTGCCGTGTGTGTTTTAGTTTCACTTTCATTTTGACTTAAAGCACAATGACTCATGTCAGTAAAAGCTGGATCAGATCAGCTGACAAGCTGTTGCGCACTTTATTTAAGTGTCAGAGTCTCACTTGTTATTTTAGGAGGTTTATTTGGATCATCACAGGCTAATAAAGTGTTTTTGGATCCAAAAACTGTTTAAAAACTTTGTAAGGAAATTATTTTCACATAATGATTTATATTTATATTATTTATAACTCCAAATGTCTGCAAAAACAAGAGTAAGGACATCGGGGGTTAAAGTGACAAAAGAAGCAAATGCGTAAACAATCTTTCTTTTCTTTCACTTGTTAACATGTGACTGCAACACTGAGTTATTAAAGAAGAACCACACACTGCTCAAACATGTCCTGAAATGAACTCAACTCACTTTAAAAATGGCTTCTTTATTTATTTTAACTCTTAATACCAGAAGCCTGGAAACATCAGAATCAACATTAAAAAAACAAAACAAAAACAAAACATCAGGCAGAATTGGTGTCTAAATGTAATATGTTAGCTCTGAATTTCCAGAAATCAGCATGAGGATATGAGGTTGATGTTAATAAGGTTGAAAAAATCATATTCTGAATCATTTCAACAAACACACAATCACATTGTATTTTAACCTGAACACTGTGACCATAAACTGCAGTGTTTCACCAACGTAAACATTAATAATACAGAGTTAAGTTTAGAAACAGGTATCGTTGTTAGACTACAATTAACTGAGTACCTACATAGGCAAACCCAGCATTTTGAATATGTATTGTGGTCTCATGACTTTTTCTTTTGTATCAGCTGCTGTACCACTTTATATTTAATGACATCACTTTGAAATAAATAAAATCACATTTTGTGAAAAGACATTTTCCCTCCTCTCTATGTCTTTTGTCTTTTTCTTTTGATCATCTTTAGAAGTATTGAGCACTCACTGTCATACACTTATCGTCGAGGCTCCGCTGTGTAGCAGGCAGAGTGGGATCCAAATGTGAGGCTCGGAAAGCAAGACAAAAAACCCAAATGCAGCGGTGTTAATGTAAACATAACATAAGGCAGGAGCAAAAAAATCACACAACAAAAACCTAACTGGACCCACATGAGGAGGACCACACAGGTCCATCAAGACAATTTTCCCAAGAGTCAGATCAGGCAATGCCCTGAGAAACTGTGTGGATGGTTGGAAGGATTTCCAGGAGAAAGCCTCCCATCTCTAAAAAGAACACAGCCACACAGCTAGGTTTGCAAAGTTGGACAAAACACATGAACAATGCTTTTTGGACAAATAAGACCAAAGTGGGGATATTTGTCTGCAACTCATAGCCCCATGTTCAGAGAAAACCAAACTAACACAAACAAATCATACCAATTGCCTGTGCGGTGGTGAAAGGGAATGATTTGGGCTTGTTGTTCAGCCACTGGATCTGTGCGCTCTGTAGTCACTGAGTCAGCCATGCACTCTCCTGCGTAACAAAGTATTCTACAGCCAAATGTAAAGCCATCTGTCCAAAAGCTAAAACTTGGCTTAAACAGGGTGACGATCCCAAACACACCAGCAATGAGTCAAGAGGCTGCAGTGGCCCAATCAGACAAGACCTCGACTGTGTAGCGGGACCTCAAGCAAGCTGTACATACACAAATGTCAGCAAACCTCAATGAACTGAAGCAGCAGTGCAAAAAAGATTAGGTTAAAAATCCAACAATGTGAGATACTGATAAAGTCATACAGAAATCAATCACTTAATGTTATTTGAGATCCAGGAAGCAGTTTGGTGGAATAGAGACTTATATATGATTCATTTCCAACTACAGCATCAGTATTCTTGTCAAATAGATGCTCTTCTTTAATAAACAAGATAGATACATGTTTATTAAATTTTAATTATAGCTATTATGCCATTTTGTTTTGTTTCTATCTTGAGTTGTTCTTTGTTCCTTTATATGGATATTGAGAATTCTTTTATTCGATGTAATGGCTGAATTTATTTTCCATTCAACTGGAAAATGGCCCAGTTTATTGATTTATTGTCTTAGGGCAGGAGGGAGATATTTTTATGTTGTTACATTTCATGTTTTAGAACTTCATTCTCTTCCACTTGTCCATACCAGGGTCATGAGGGTAGCTTGAATAGGCCCTATCCAGTGTAATTCAGTTTTATTTATATAGCACCAAATACCAGCAACAAGGTGCTTTATATTGTAAGGTAAAGAACCTACAAAAATACAAAGAAAACCCAAACAACCCCAAAATCAAATGACTATATGGGTAAGCCTGTGGTGAGGCAAGGTAAACCCTGGACGGGTTGCCAATCTTAGCAGGGCTGTTTAAAAGCTAAGTTTAAGTTTCTTACATTTAAAATGATCATTTATGAAGAAAATGGAGTGTCTGTTATTTAGTATTATGTTTTTTTAATTGTTCATTCAGAGAATACAATCTAAATTTCAAGAATAACATGGACTTAGATGAGCCCCATTGTTGACCTTTTGTTATCATTTTCTGTAGGTTTACAGTCCACAAACAGAATCTTGCATAGAGCTCATAAAAAGTTGGACACAGCCTTGCACCACAGGCCTTGGAGTCCTGTCATACTGGTTTCTGGACATGTGTACTGTGGGTGCTGCTGCCACCTGTTTGTTATGTGACAGTGAATCCTGAAGCATTGGCAAGTTTATTGGCATTGCCAGGCATGACAACATAAGAATGAACAATGAAGGTAGGGTTGGACCTCAAAGAGATACTTTGTGTTTTCTGGGGATCTTAAAAAATGGTTTCCTGTCCCAGCATCCAACGGGTATCTGAGTGTCACATCTGATGTAGTGTTGTTGGATTTTAAACATATTGTTCAACAAACTGTGTCTGTTCAGAAGGAAAAATAACACATGTAAAATAATATTTACATGTCATTCTTTCAATGTAGATCGTATTCTCAAAATCAACAATTACAAAAAGATAATACTACTCAACAATCCAGCCTAAAATTATAGTGCAATTGCAGCGCTGGGGTGGTTAAGATCAGTGTTTCTGTTCTGGGATCCTTTTAAAGTACTGCAAAGTCAGTGACAAAAGACTGCATGCAGTATAATTTGAAACTTTCAAATGCTGACTCCATGATCTGCTTTACTTACATATATTTTAAAGAAAAAAAGTATGTAATGTATTTGGGAAATGGACACCATAACTCACTGGGTCTATTATGTATTTTTCTAAAATAATTTGTTTGACTTAGAGCTAAGAATCAGTGTTGTAACATCACATATGACTTTTCTAGTTTTTCCTCGTTTGAAGGAAATCTTACAGGTGCAAAGATTCATTTTCTTTTACTTATATTTTTTTATTTTTTTATTTATTTTTTAAGCACAGCAGTAGAATTAAAACTCAATTATTCACAACATTAACAGGCAGGGAAGTCACTGTTGATTTAAGTTGTTTTATTACAGTGTGGACGTTTCCATGTGGTGTTGAACTGTAACAATAAACAGGACAGTCAGACTAAATCAAACGAGGACAAATGAGTCAACCATTTCGATCCAAAGTTTGCCAGTGTACTTTACCATCGTAACAGGTTACAAAGACCTCTTATGAAAAGTACTACAACTCCTGCAGTTGCCACATTTAAAAATGCCATTAGAACAAATAATGATATTATTTCATGACATGCCCTTTCTTCTGCTGCCTTTGGACCTGTGTGGAGAAAACAGACCATAAAATAAACAATTTTATCAAAGCCAACAAAAGGGACGTAACAGTACAGGCACAGAAATCAGCCAATTGTGAAACACAAAAAGGAACAAATCTGGAAACTAAACATTGTATTTAAACTTTAAGGGTAAGAATTGGGCTTGTTGTGCAGCAAGAAAGCTCTGTGATGTCACAGTTGGCAAATCTTTTTGCAGTTGATCAATGAGTAAACCCACCACCGTCTTTCAAAGGAAGTCCTGAATTAACTTCAGTATCACCTGCAATCAAAACTTTATTTTTGTCGTCCACCTTTATTTTCCTCGCAATCATGTGCAGAGACGCAAAACCTGTACAGATAAAACAAAGGTAGAAACAGGAAAACTTAAACAATAGAAACAGAAATGATAATAATAATAAAAAAAACTAGGTTCAAAAGTAGATGTAATAAAAAGACAAAACCAAATACATCAATCAAAATGACATGCATCTATTCACTGAAAAAAAGTAAGTTGTTATTCTTTGTTTTGATTAATAAAGCATGAAAAACTTGATTATGAATAAGAAATTCTGCCCCAAACGATAAATGATTGCAAAATGTACATCATGTTATTTAAAATTATATATCTATAACATGTATTTCCCGTGAGATGTCGCCCTGTGTTCATTACATGCTTGTTTGATTGCATGGCAGCTATCACAAATGTGATGAAGTTTAGACAATTTTAACTTAAATATGTCACGGTGGGGTAGTGAAGCAGTGGACCCAAATTCAGACAGAGAAGAAGACGGAGCGGAGACTTGAACCAAAAGCGAGCTGTTTTCTTTAGGCTGGTAAACATGAACAAAGGCAAAAACAGGAGCAACAACTAAACTGGAACCCATACTGGGAAAACTAAAAGACAACTGTGACGAAACAGAGACAACTTTAAAGACTATGACTGCTATGATTTCTATGACTCGGCGTGGTAACACAGACGTTCTGACAAAGACAGGCTAAACACACACAAGGGATGATCAGAGGAAGTGGAAACACATGGGGAAACAGCTGACACTAATGAACATAATGACACCACAGGGGAACTACAAAACTAAGCACACTGAACAAAAGAACACTAGACTTCCAAAATACAACAGGAAACACCGAGACGCTGGCATGACATCACAAACTAGACAACATGAAATACGCAGACAACAAATACATGACAAACTACCTAGAGAAGACCAGAACAGACTTACAGAAGAGGACCTAGATGGACCTAAACTAGAATA